AAATTATCAAAGTAGTATTGTTCCCTTTCAGTTAAGTGATCTATATCACAGTATTCCAGTATTTCTAATGAAAAATTAGAATATCCGTATTTTATTAAAGCACTACTTATTACAATACTTTCTCTATCTTTTAAATAACTAAGATTAAAATATTTAATAAATGTTTTAGCTAAATTTATGGATTGACCCACATAAATATCTTTCGTTATTTTATTGGATCATTTATAAATACCAGACATATTTTTATTATCATTTATAATTATTTTTATCATATCAAAAGCATCTTCGTAATATTTTGCACAGTTAACCTTCGAAGAAGAGGTACTATAAGACCTTATACAAATTATATTATTAAACTTAAAACACTTTTGAGCAGGCACAACTTTACCATGGTTTAAATATTTATGAGATATAGGTGATTTTCTACTAGTGTAATTTCTTACAATAGATATCATTATTCAACCTACACCAAATAAAATTATAACTAAATAGAACATAATATTATCGTGTAATTCAACTAAACCTTCCATTTGAGGTGTAGCACTATCCTGGAAATAAAGACCTCAAGGCTTAGGTGTATCACAATTGTTTACAATATTTGAAAATAATAAATCAAGCATATTATTTCATATTTCCTTTTTTCTAACTTAAAATTTATATATTTAAACATTAGAAACCATTAAACAGCTTATACTACTTTATATTTTAAAATAGTATATTTAAAAGACTAATTAAAGACTAAAAAAATTTTTTTTGAATAGTGTACTATCCTATAAAAATACAACACCGTTATTTTTTTTTTATACCAGACATAGTATGCTAAAGTACTAATATATTTAATATAATAATATTTATCATACATAATAAAGGGTCAAGGGAAGCCTGTTGTAATTTATATAATCTAGTTTACCTATTCACTCTCTATTATTAGAGAGCAAATACACCATACCCTCACTTTGTATATTAAATATAAAGCTACCTAACTAGAAATAGTAAACCTATATAATAAGATAATTATATAAGTAATAAAGAAAAAAATTTTTTTTTAGTTACAACATAACGTTTACAGAAAAGAGGTATAATAGATAAACGATTATACCTATAGATAATTATACAAGTAGCAATATACCTTTAATCTTCTGCATCCCAACCATACGACATAGGCTCAGTATCAGCAGTAATGTCACTAGAATCTTGGTAACCAGGACGTCTTTGACTACTTGAATCTTCATCAGCCTCAAATTTACGTTTATTTGAAGTTGAATTGCTTTGAGCACTAGACTGATCATCAGCCTCTGATTTATTTCGCAACGCAAGAGTATCTACTGCGGGTGTACCTATAATAGCATCAGTATTAGCTACATCAGTATTCGCTACTTCAGTATTCGCTACTTCAGTATTCGCTACTTCAGTATTCGCAACTTCAGTATTCGCTACTTCTCCTCTAGGCTTGTTACTCGGAACATCCGGACCTGCATGTAGTGGTGTATGGCAAGTAGCACAGCTACCATCATCATCACTGTCACTATCAACCACTACCCCTTGAGTTTTACGTAACCGTAATTCGGCTTTTAATTCGAAATGTCGGTCATAATACACTTGCCGACCTTCCGCACTATCCGAGTCGTCTCGGTGGTTATCCACTTCAATAGGGTGTTGTGATATATCTTTTGTAGCAGTAATATATTCTCTAATATTTCTTTCAGGTATGTTTTCAACTGGAGCATATACCATGGCATCCGCCCCTTCATCATAATACTCCCCATCGGGGTCTGAGCCGTAACCTGACTCACCGGAAGAACCTGATCCGTTTAAAGACTCAGATTCTGAATTAGGGGGGGAGTTATTACCATTGTTTTCCTCAGGTTCTGAACTAGAGGGTGAGTTATCACGTTCGTCTTCCTCTGCGGAGGTAGGTAAGGGTAAATTCTCACGTTCGTCTTCCTCTGCTGAGGTAGGTAAGGGTAAATTCTCACTATCGTTTACCTCTGCGGAGGTAAATAAGGGTAAATTATCACTATCGTTTACCTCTGATGAGGTTGGTAAGGAAGTGTTATCACTATTTACCTCTGCTGAGCTTGGTAAGGGTAATGCTAGAGACCTACATGTTGAGAAATACCTAGGTGTAGCTTTTAAAAAAGCTAAACCCCCTAGTACGCTAGATAAATGAGTAGTACTATTAAACCTGTTATGGATTAATTTAACCATTTGTCTACTATCAATTTTAAGTGCATTTTTACCTAACTCAAATGCAAAACCTAATGTTAAGGCTAAAAAAAATATTAACATTATAGCTAACCCATATATACCATTCGTGTGTGCACTAACTACGTAAGGATATACTAACAGAATTTCTAAATCAAACAATAGAAACAGTAAAGCAAATATAAAAAAAGAAATGCTGAATTGTGTCCTGTTTTGACCTAAGAAAGAGTGAAAACCACACTCAAAGACATTATCTTTTTCTTGGTATGGGTTATGCGGGGCAAATATTAAATTAATAGCTAATAAAATAACAGCTAATAAGGGTATAAATACAAAAAAGAATGTAGTACTTGTCATTTACTGATTGAATAATATTAAAGCTAAAATATTAGCTAAACTTAATCATTCATGTGGTATAAATATAAATAACAGTATTGTTAAAGTTAATACAGATATAGTAATTGTCAAATAACTAGATAATACAATACTATTAGCTTTAAATATTATATTTTCAACTATATTAACCTGGTTTAAGATGTTACCGTGTAAAATAAGATCGGCAGTTTCTTTATTAATGGTATGTTCAGGTGCATCAAAGAACATTTGTTTAATAATATTTAAGTAGTAAACACCACCAATAACACTAGTTAATATAGCAACTAGAGCAAGAAAAATATAGCCACTGTCTAAAGCAGCACTCAGTACCATTTGTTTTGCAAAGAAACCCATAAGAGGTGGAATACCTGCAAAAGAAAAGATTGTAATAGTTAAACTTAAAGCTAATAAAGGGTTTAACTCAAAATAACCTTTAAGTTGACTTATTAATTGTACAGGTGAATTATTTTTATCATCAAGTTGTTTGTATTCATTGCTCTCATTTACGTAATAGAAAAGAGAAAAACCCATACTAATTAAGATGATAAAAGCATTTAAATTACTAATAGAGTACTGCATTAGGTAGAATATAAAGGCTTGTATAGACTCTATACTGTTTATACTTAGTGCAAGCAAGATAAACCCTACATGTGATATAGTACTGTAGGCAAACAATCTTTTAATTCTTAGTTGAGTTAGACCTACTACTGTACCTACAATCAATGATAGTAAAGAACTTACCAGTAAACTAGATGTCCAACTAAAATTAAACAGAGAATCACCTGTATAATGCACTAATTCTAATAGAAATACAAAAATAGAAATTTTGGCTACTATGGCTACAAATGTAGTCACTATAGTAGGTATAGCATCATAAACACCAGGTGATCATAAGTGGAAAGGTGCTGCACTTACTTTAAATAGGAAACCTACGCTAAGTATAAGCAATGAAAAGTTAATATAATAACTTTTATATCAGTATAAAATATTATTGTCCCCTTCATTGGTCAAATCACTTAAGCTCGTTATAACATATATACCATCAAGATTAGTAGTACCTGAATTTGCATATAATAAACTAGTACCTAGTAAAATAAAACAAGAACTTAAACCCCCTAATAAGAAATAAGTTAAACCACCTGATGTAGCTAATTCAGAATTTCGGTATAGTGTACTAAGTAAATATAAACCGTAACTTTGTAGCTCTATCGATAAAAATATTGAGACTAAATCAGATGTAGATACTAAAAATGTTGCACCACTAACTATAAACAATAAGATTAAAGGGTACTCGATTATTTTAAATTGTTCCCCCATCTTGTTTACAATTTTAGTTCTGTAAAATAAGAAATTATAAAAAAGCATTTTTATTAAAGAAGAATATGCAGCTGTACATACCCTTCTAGGATAAAATGCAGTAAGTTGAAGTATTAGTGCACTGATTATATATATAAAAAGTTGAAATATATGTGTGATACTAGTTGCAAGAAATAGTCCACCATATAAACCAATACCTCTACTTAAAGTTTTTAAGTTTAAACACATGAAAGATATTAAACCTGAATAAATCAGAATTAATATAGAGACTCTACTATATAATATAGACTTATCTCGCCGTAAGGTAACCGCATTAGACAATAATAGCTGAATTATAGAAAATAATAACATAAATAAGTAAAAGAATCGAACTTTTTATAGCTATATTTTTATAAAAATATAGTTTTATAACAGACCGCTGACTTATTTTATTATATGCTATCTTCAATTTATATATTACTTTAAATATTTAATTAATACATACAATTTATAATGCATATATTATACACTTGTATAATAAAAATGTTTTTAATAAACCTGTATAAATACAAACCACACGGTAAAACCTTACTATTACATATAAAGACTATCTAAAGGGCAAAAGTAATATATATGTAAAATATAAAATACAAAATATTACTTGCAATAGATATATCATATATGTTATAAATTATAACATATATCTATACGCACATATGTATATATGTATCTAATATACATAACAATAAAAATAATACAACTATGTATTATTAATAATAGCCGGAGGAGAAATTTGAATTCTCATTCTTAATGCATGAAATTAATGTTCTAACCAATTAAACTACCCTGGCTTTTATTGTAATTTAAATTGATGAAGGGTGAATACCCTGATTTGAACAGGGAACAGACTGATCCACATACAGTCGCTCTACCGATTGAACTATATCCACCTTTATATAATAAAGGTTTATATAACTTTAAACATAAAATACAATAAAGTAATTATGTTGGAGTGATTCGAACACCCAATGGTAAATACCAAAAATTTATGACTTACCGATTAGTCCACAACATATATTTAAATAAATCAATATATAGATAATTAAACTAAATATAAATTTACATAAGGTAAATCCGACTTGAACGGATAAGATATAATAATAATAATCAAATAGGCCTAAGCTATTCATGTCTACCTATTCCATCACTACCTTAGAATTGCTCGAAATAAGATTTGAACTTACAACCTAAACATCTTCAGTGTTCCGCTCTACCAGGTTGAGCTTTTCGAGCCTATAGGTGTAAAGTCTAACTTCTTATAGAGATTAGCTTACACTAAAGCTATAAACGGTTATCTAACATAATTTTATATGTTTTATATGTTTTATATTGTAAACACACTAGTTAGACTAGTGAAGTATACATAATCTAAACCAAAGGTTAAATTGCTCGCACCTTAATTATCAATTTAAGTTTTGATACAATGAAAATTAAGTTTCGATACTATTGCATCAAAAAAAAAGTTTTTTTGTTAAGCAGGCGGCATTAATAAAGTTAGTAATTTTAGTTTATATGACAGATATAACAAGTAGAATTTTAGCAATACCTAGTGGAGACATCAAGAATCGAACCTGAATTAACGATATGCAAAATCGCAGTTTTGCCAATTAAACTATGTCCCCTTTTTAGAGTATTTAAAATAAATATTAATTTATAATCTTTTATATTCACATTATATATTTAACTACTTTTAGATGTATATAAGCATTATACGATATTGTAATATATTAGTATGTAGAGATGGTTATATATATAGCTTATCTAGCTTATAGTTTATATTTTAAAAGATAAAATATATATAAAATATCTAAAATATAAAATATCTAAAAAAATATTAAAAACTTAAATTAATGGGTTTTTAATTAAAAAAAAACGTATCCAAAAGAGGACTTGAACCTCTACGATATTATATCAACGAAACTTAAGCTCGTCCTGTCTACCAATTCCAGCACTCGGACGTATATTTTTGTTTAATTAAGCTAAGGCCAGGGTGAGTTGAACACTCATCTCAGCTGTCATGAGCAGCTTGCTTTACCAATTAAGCTATAACCTTGTTAAATATGCGGACAAAGGACTTGCACCAATATTGACTGGACATGAGCCAGTTATGTTACGATTACATCAATCCGCATTTATAATATATATAAATATTATAATTTATATATTGATAATATATAAATTTATTCCTCATCTCTAGTTAGTATAATATATACACTAAGCGTAGCCTCAGTGGGGATTGAACCCACGTATGTAATGATGAAAACATTATGTCTTAACCACTTGACTATAAGGCCTATTATGTATATATTAAGTCCAGTGCAAGTATCGCACTTGCTTATGCTGGTTACAAAACAGCTACATTACTTTTATGCTAACCGGACTGAAGTTAATGTAGTTGTATTTATTCTTCATTTAAACATAAATAAGTTCTGTGATATCGCGCAAATTTAGTTGAATATAAATTAGTACTTTATACCTAAAAACATTTAAATTCTTTCAGCTAAAGCCTATTGATAGCATGTACCTTGAAAGTATAAGGTACAGAATAAAATTTTATTTAGTTTTACACACACTTTCTTGCTGATGTTTTTTTTATTAAAAGATGCGGGTGGAGATTTTAGACTGTTCTATCAGTTTGGTGTACTTTTATTCTTCATCATTTCGTAGTATTCCACTACGTATATTTAAGAATATCTTAAAGTAAATTTCGTGCCTAGATGCATTCAGCACTTATTTTTAACTAACTTAGCGTTCCTGCCGTGCCTATGTTATAGAATTACTTAAGTGAAAGTAACACCCTAGCTTCTCTAGATAATATTATTTAATATTGGGCACATAAACAACAGGTAAACCAGAGGTTAATATACCCAGCTCCTTTCGTACGAGGGGGATATCCTTATTTTATTCTAATTTCCTCTAGAAGATAGAAACCATACTGTCTCACGACGTATTTAACCCAGCTCGTGTAACTTATTAATCGACGAACAGTCGAACCCTTCATGATTCCTGCATTCATGTGGATAAGTTAAGCCGACATCGAGGTGCCAAACTGCGCACTCAATTTGTACTTCCTGGCGCAATTAGCCTGTTCAAATTATGTTAAAATTCCGTTTTTTTTAAAACGGTTCAGACTATTTCTTCATGTTTTCTCTTTTTATAATATTTGCAACGCGAAAATATAAATAAGGCAAATATAAACTAGCATTTAGGTGTAAAACCAACATTAAAAAGTCCTAGAGATAAATATATATCAAAAATATAAACCTTGTTTTAGACACTCATTATTATACAATTATCTTACTTGTAGGAATATAAAGATTTGCATTGATTTTTATATTAAGCAAAATACCAAGTAAGCTAATTTAAGGTTTTATTTACTACTTACTCAACCCTTAACACCAAAAGCTCCGTTACGGGTTTTAGAATTAATAAAAGTATATTGTACATTTGATTTATGATAACCTCTTAGCATAACAGTAGATAAGCCTCTAAAAGAAGAATCGACATTTTTTAAACCACCTATTCATTTCATTTTAAATACAGATCTTGAAGCAGTTGCTCGCCGTGTAAGCCTTCCTTTAGCTTCTACTCTAATTCCTCTTAAATTTAAATGTTTTAAGTGTTGTCTAAGTACATAACCTTTTAAAGATACTTTTTGTTTCTTTGTAAAGGATCTTTTTATAATATTTATTTCTAAGTCATCGGTTGCAGGGTAGAAACTTAACAAGAGATTATTTAAAGAATCTTTCCCTTTATTGTCCGTAAACATGGAACTAATGATATTATTACGGATTCTATTAACAAAAAAATCTTCTTTTTTTGGTTTACTTATTCTTTCGCTTATTCTACTTATAACGGGTAAATCAATTTTACGTAGAGATCTTTTTAAAACTTTATATAGCCGATTATCTCTATTCCTTAATTTTAAGGATACACCTTGAGTATATATATCACTGTTTAGATGCATTTTTTTTAATTTAACAATATTGAATTCAACATCTTTATTATATAATTTTCTAACTAAAAAAATTAGCTTTGACATAAACTGATTTGTAAATTTTAAACTATTTAATTTCAATAAATGATAAAAGTAGCGTAATTTTTTTTCTTTAAACCGTTTAAGAGATTCTAGTTTAACTTGATTATATTTAAGATAATCTAAAGGTTTCCATAGTGAAATCTTATTAATAAATAGGATACGTTTCTCATCATTTGTTAAAATCTTTGTTTCCACTAGCCTAGTTAAAAGATTACAATAAGAATTTAATAACTTTATTTCCGAAGAGTAAGCGTATTTGTTCATTATGGACATGGTATATAAATCATATAATTCTTGATGATCACCCTGAACAAAATTTTCCTGACTGCTTAAAACTCTATTGTAAATTATTCTAGCTTTACCCTTACGACTATATTTAACCTTTTTTTTAAGGGAAAAGGTGGATAAAAAAGATCTTTTTTAGCCTTTTCATATTTCTGTGATAATAACATACCCTCCGTATTAAGGACATAAAAGGTTATTACTACTTTATTACTGGTATGCTTTACGTCACCTCTACCTATGAAAACTTTTTTTGTTGATACTCGTCTGAATCTAAGTTTTAATCGCTTAGTTTTATTTTTCATCAAGTTTTGGTTAAGTTGAAAATTAAAAAAGCTTTTTAAAAGGGACATAAGATTTGTATTTGCTACAGGCAATGTTTTTATATAATTAGAGTTATATGAATATACACTATTATACCACTCTTGAGCTGCAGGTGTATAATGTCTAGTTTTACCTGTATCGCTTTTAATATAGCTCAATTCTTTAGATCGGCTTATTTTACTTTTTTTGTCAAATAATATCGGTAAATTCTGTTCGTAGTTATTTTCATCTTGATAATTATCAAGTTCTTCATCTATCCTCCTCACTGCATGGATTATTCTATAATTGGCGCTTAATCTTTAATCTAGGATTAAGTCTATTTCATTAATATTATTTATATTAATTATTGATTACTTAAAATATTCTTTAAGTTAACCTTATTTTACTATAAAAGAGGAGAAAATACATGTTGGATTCTTACTAAGCTGTTATATAAAATAACAAACCTATTAGTCGTTGAACGTTTTTGACACGGAAATATTCCATGTCAAAATTCGCTTCAAGTAAACATTTTAAAGTCTTTCTTGAAATTAACCCAATTATTACAATATTTCTCATTGAGAAATATTGTGGGACAATAAGCTATTTATCCCTAGCGTAGCTTTTTCAATTATCCAAGACCTTTCCTTTCTGCATCTTGTGATCATATGCCCCGCTTACGCGACTGATAGACGTGTAAGTCAAACAGTAAAGCAAGATTAAGCCATTAAACTTGACAAGTAATAAACATAATTATATTATTAGTATTTTCATATAAAAAAAAATACGCACAAACTTAATTATTATAAACTAAGCCAACTAATAATATAACTAAAAACATTGGAAAATTAAAAGTATTTGCCCTATTTTCTTAATGTTTTAATTACAACTATTTTCCATATAGTTAAAATCTTACTTGGAAAAAAATATTAGTTCTAACTCAATAGATATATAGCTGGATTAGTTATAGCTTAAGCTATACCAAATAACATACTAAAAATAAAAAATATACATCATTAGTATATTTAATTGTCAAATATTTATGACAATTTTACAAAATTAACTTTGGATACACCCAGGTACTTTTTATGGGATCTGTGCCCCGCATAAACTGCCTCCTAGCAATTGTTCCTTCTTTGAAGGTTAATGATTATCTCAAATCTCTAGCAAAAGCTAGATATGTTTGAGAGTTTCACGTAGAAAAATCTACCAATATGATAAACTAAATAAAGGTGTTTCAATTGTGCTTACACTACCTTATAACTAAAATTCGCCATATCATATTCAATAACTAGCAACAGTAAAGCTGCATAGGGTCTTCTCGTCTAACTAGAGGTAAACTGTATCTGCACAGTTATTCCAATTTCACTGAGCCAATCATTGAGACAGCTGTTGTATCGTTAAATCATTCATGCAAGACCGCATTTAACGGCCAAGGTATTCCGCTACCTTAGGACCCTCATAGGTAAGGCCGCCATTGATCGGGGTTTCCTTCGAAGCCAAGCTTATATTAGTCAACTTAGCAAATCC